AAAGAGTATATATTTATATGTACATATATATTTTTATAAATGTTATTTATACTTATAAAGGTAAAGTTTACCTCAGAAAAGGATTCTATAGAGAGACGAGTCGATAACTTCTCTTCACCTTCTGCCGCAGGTAATGGTGGTACATAATCTTCATCATCAGATGTCAAGCCTAATTCGTTACCATAGCAGGCATGTACAAGTTGCCACATTTCAGCCATACTCATTGGCTGAAAATAACAAATTTATTTTTACTTGAAGAAATATATTTTATAAGAACACAAAATATCTAAAAGTGATACAGTCAGACCCCGATTAATGCTCCCAGATACAATAAGAAACAAGAAATAATACAAAATATATGTATACATTTTTTTAAACATTATAAGTAGAGAAAGAAATGATTTATAATAATGCATAAATCATATATACTGTACCGTATTTAAGAATTAAACTGTATTTTGTATAAAGCATATTGAATGACTAAAGCAGACTCAGCATTATCGAAATTATTGAAGCTGAAGTGCTTTGAATTAAGATTCAAAAAACTATCATCTTACCAAGCATTAGTAAAAATGTACTATAATGAAGTGATTATAGAATAGCTTAAAGCGAGGTCTTACTGTATAGCTTATTTAAAATATCTCCATTTCAAATCTTTTTTTTTAAATTAATTCTTTAAGATTTCAGGTCAATATTGTTCTAAAATTTTCATTCATCGAATTTTTATGAATATTTTTACTCATGGATATATCTCAAGGGTATTTTCCAAGGCAAAAATTTTCTCAAAAATCTTAGATATTAAAACTATACAATAAAAGAGCTTGAGCAAAGCTTACTTTAGACAATCTATAATTTTTATGTGCCGAGTATTTTGATATACATATGTGCATTCTAATACATATCTTTTATGTGCGCTAATCTAATACATATCTTTTATGTACTTTTTAATTCTTCCGTTTTTCATGTTACATACATATGAAATTATGAATAGAATCCTATCCTTAATTTTCCAATGCGAGTTGTAGATGGTATATAATCTTCATTTATACACAATGTACGCATACCTCGCCAATGAGAGCATTTTGCCAAACACGAAATAACATCACATATGTTTTATCTCTCGCTCCAAACGATGTTAGGAAGAACTTGTCAGTAACGGTGCATATCAGGATGGCATTTGGAATGACAAGCGCAGTTTTTTCTTTGGTAATAGATGTAACATCTTTCCAACGGAGGGAGACCAACGTCTCCCACATAAATATATTAGCATAAAAACAAACATAGTTTTGAGACACATACAGCCTACCATGTACCAATATTTCACGCTGCAGAGCACAAGAATAATCTAAAAGTTATAACACTAGATTAATTAAATCATGGAATGTTAAGTACCATATTTACAGTCGCACGTGAACATTACAAAAGTAACGTTTGGTGGAAATATTTCACAGGGAATAAAATCTTGCATAATACATTCTCATATGAAGAAGAAAAAGAGAACACTCTTAAAATAACATACTTACCTACCACCAATCTCTCATCGTCAGGTACATCTTTAAATATTCGCTTAAAATCCTCGGAACGAGATTTATATGTCGGGTAAAGTACGTTATACCAGGAAGATTTTTTTTTACTTCTGCTATCGCTGCTACGCGTTTCTTTTTTATTCTCATGAGTAGAACTCTTGTTGAGATCAGCTGAATCCGATGACCTATTTATTAGATCCTGCAATATATTTATACAAATTTATTTATACATGTATATATATATATATATATATATATATTTCTTAATCATCCGAGAACTGGGAGTTTAACAATATTTACCTGAGACAGCTGATCATCTGACTTATTCGCACGAAGCGAGTCCTTAGTAGAAGAATCAGAGTTTACCCTGGTATATTCTCGCCTGGAATGGGCTCTTGGACTGGGACGTGGAGACAAGTTGGGACTGGACACAGGACTGTTGCGATCAACATTGGAATTAATAGTTGTCTCCTGTACGTTCTCAGCAGACGCAGTACTTCCCAAGTTTGTTACCGAAGCGGCTTGATTACTCAAGCCAGAAGAATTAATGCTGCTGATCACTTCGTGGCTGGATATCAACAGATTCTCCACGGATTTGTTCCTATTTATAACAAAGAACCCAACCAATATCAGAAAAGACAAATAAACAATGTTATATTTAACAACAGCTAGATTCTCCGCATGATGTCATCATTTGGATAGTCATGCAAAATCATTGCTCAAACGAGTACGTACATGCTTGATGCCGAGTGTCTCTGCGCCGTCTCCGTCTCGAAGTGCATAACAAATCACGCGAAGTTAGCGTCCACGTTTTCGTGGCCGGAGCTGTCAAACATCGAAAGCCTTAAGAGAAGCTTCCTAGCGAGTCTTAGGAATAGGCGTTATGTTTTTTTTCGGAGTGGGTCGCCGCGGGGAGATTGTTACGGGAAATAATGTATAGCGTAATAATTCTAGCGATATACTCAAGCGATGTGCGATCGTTAGTATGCATTTAGTCGGCTGCGAGAGGCGTTTTTTATCCGCGCGTTGGACATTGGTACTTGCGCCTACCGCGATAAGAACGACACATTTCAGATAAGATGCAGTCACGCGTCGCCGTGTCAAGCGTCACTCGCTTCATATTGCGGTAGCTTGACGTCCGCCGAACATCGTCGCACTGCGTATCATCGCCGTCCGTTTTTTTCCTCGCGTTATTTGTAACGTGAAGTGAAGTTTCGCTCCTTCTCTCTCTCTCTCTCTCTCTCTCTCTCTCTCTCTCTCTCTCTCACGCACAGATCACACACATACCACACACACTTTCTCGCGGAGCACGTCGATCGTGCCACACGTACACACCACACAAAGCGTAATCGTCACGCACGTCGCGGTCGTCGCGTTCGAAAGTGCTGCGGCAGTACGTTGGTCATGAAGTATGGAATAATCACGGTTAACGTTCAAAAAGCCGCGAGATCAAGCCTTTGGAGAGCGTTTCCGATTGGCATACGACGATCAATTTACCGGATGCCGATCAATCATCGACAACTGGAGACTTTAACGGTCGCACGCTCGACGTTGATTGGATGAACTCTCTGACGCGCGCAGCGAATTGGCGCTCAAATTGCCGCCAAATGTAATTCGAATACATGGCGATCAAAGAGAAAGCATCAATGAATATAACGTTTGGTCTTTTTAATTGGACTTGAACTGTTTATCCCTTCTCTTTTTCTTTTCGTATTAATGAAAAAAGATGAAAGAAATTCATTTCATTCGTGCAAGAAATTCATTTAAAAGAACAAGCTTATTTATTAATAACGATCGATTTTGGATACATTTTTGTTTTTTAAATAGGATCCGAAAAAACGTAGACATTATCAACCGTCACATGATAAAATATCAAATATTAATATTACGAATTAATTGTTTAATTTTAATAACTACGCGACTTTCATAAAATTGTTGATCTTTAACAATTTGTCATGATTACATTTTTTATCCTGCATTTTTTATCCTGCCATTTTATAATGGCTATATATATTTTTTAAAAGTTTATTCAAGTTTTATTTATTCTTGACTAATTAGATATAAATTGAAAATCAAAAGATTTTATTATTAATAAAATTAATATACTATACTTTATACTTTTATATCGCCTAATTCTTCAGTTATTTCTGATATTGTATTTTCATTTTTCTTTTCCTCCTCTTCTTCAGATTCCGTACTACTTTGCGGAAAATCAGGAAGCGCTAAGAATAAATGTACAACGATATTAAAAATAAAAGCATACATGAATATAAACAATCTTTACTAAGCCTATCTTAAATATCCTTACCAAGCCTATCTAATTTCTCCTGCCAGGCTTTTTTTAAATACTCCTCTTGTGCTGCGATCACTTCTTCGCTACTTGTGCAAACAGCATATTTTTCTAACAATTCGTTATTCAACTCCAGGAACGAGTGTCCCCACGAGAATTTTCCAAGATAAAGATTAGCCTCGTCTGAAAATCCAGTTATAATCAGTGTAGCCGCTATAGCCTCGACACAGCTCAGTTGACAAGGTTTCCCATAGTTTATTGGATTAGCAGCAACCAAGAATGGCAATAAGCGAGGATGAGACGTTTTCATTCTATTGAAAGGAGTGTCATCTAGACGCGCCCAGCTACAATCGACAACGGCACAGCCATATTCCTGTACAATGTCACGATCTGTTGGGCTCACACACTATAACACATAACGTTTCATTATGTCTGTGATAAGATTATAATAGCATCGCTTTTTCATTTATCAGCTACCTTATCACCAACTGGAGTGAGACATAAGCCTGGAAAGCGAGTGCCCAGTCGCAGGATCTTTATCAAACCGTGTCTCGCGAGCTTTCTTCCGGAGCATTTTCTGGGATCACAGTGCTCCATATCCCACATAGCCACGGGAAACTGGATCGATTGTTCCTTGAGTTCTATAAATTCAGTCAGAGTTATTGCAAGGCGCAAATCCTGCAAAATAGTTTTTGCCTAACCTGCTTCATCGTTTTCGCCCGATTCCTCGCTCTTCTCCTGGTAGTACCTCTGTTCCTTGCCCAAGACACGCCGTGGTCTCCTCTCAAGTAATTTGTTCTTGTTCTTTTTTCTACGTCCGGACATTTTCCGTTTAGGAACTCTCAGGCTTGTTGGGATATCGCGAATATTTATCTAAGTTATTTTTCTAATGTGTTAATATAACATAACCTAAAATTACATTACATGCTTTTAGGTTAAAAAAATGTCATACATTAAACATTGGCTAAAGCATAAAAATTTTGTAGATCGTTCTACTATTTCTAAATATTTATACAAAAACTAAGCAT